TCGTGTGTGGGATATTTATAGAAAAAAATCATTAAAGGAGTATCTTGGAAGTTTGAATTTAATCTGGCGTCTGCACCCATGTTTGAAAATAAATTATCTTAGTTGTGTTAATTCTGTAGGTATTGCTTGTGTTTTGTGCAAGTGTTCCATTGCAAAAATGAAGACTCCTCATCATTGGCATTGTCCATTGTGCTGACAAACATTTTCATAATGTTCCAAGTTGAGTGTACATCTTGCTGGTTGTAGTTGTGGTGATTTAAATGTACAGAGCAGTGAAATTGAAAGATTTCAAATTGGAAAGAAAGTGAGAACATCAGATGATGCTGACCGTAATTAAAATAATCTTTAATTAAAATTCTTCACCAGTGGTATGCCTTGACTATGCAATAGGAGATTGTCTGTCACTTTCAAGAATGAATTTGTGCCTTGTCCATTTTGTTGATTTCTATATTTTACTTCACTCAATTAATAATTAACAATAGTTACAGAAATTTAAAACACACATGAAATACATATTTTCACTGATGTTCAAAAAAGTGTGTAAAAATAAAGTATCTGTTGTCTAAATTGTACTATTTTGTATTAAGTTAATACATCTATTTAAACAGCAATGGAATGAGTCATTGTTGCAAAGACCTTGGAGGTAGGCCATCTGTTCTGGCACCCCACTGTGTCCACAGATATGTGATGCTCATAAAGTAGAATTTGTATGTGACATGGGTAATTCTATGTCATCCTTGATTCATTTATGTTGTAAGTAAATCTCTGAATATTTTTAGCCGTATTGAGTGTAGAATATTATATTCACTTTTAAAATCTAGAGTTTTCAATTTTGATCTATTTTATAAAAATTCTTAATTATTGACAAAATTATAGAGATCATATTCATAACTTCAACGATAACTAATGTAAAGAAGGTTAACATGATAGCTATTATTTACAGAATGTTTAGGATATTTGAAAACTACAGTATTCTGAAAAATGGAAATGTTGCTGTAAATAATTTTGTAATGGGTGGCAATGGTGAGGCAGGGTCGGGATGTTCCTATTATTGAATGTTCGGTATGTCTGTCACATAATTTGTATTTCTTTATTTATTAAATTAAACAAAATAAACTCTGAGGCAACCTTATTCTTTTTTGCAGGTTCTATTAGAAACTCGAAAAAGAAAGTTGCCCATTGCAAAAAGTGATGACGCATCAGAAAAAATAAAGTATCAAAGATGTTGTCACCTCCACAGACTGAATGTTCCACTTAAGGTATGGTAATGTTGAGAAAGAACTTGAACACACACATTACCAAGAAACATTCCAAAGACAACATGTTAGCTTTTCCAACCTACACTGTCTTCACAGTTGATAAAGCTAAAGGTATTTTTAGCCTTTTCAGTGGGCCACATTACTTTGTAGACATGTAGTGGTGATAGGCCTTCATTATAATAGCAATAGTGGTACTATTACTATGTCTGCAGACTAGGTCCACGAGAGCGTGATTATTGTCTGTGAACACATTATACTAGTGATAATGAAATTATTACAGGTCTATCATATGCAGGTAGGTGTAGTAATTACTTTGTAGACATGTAGTGGTGACAGGTCTTCATTATATTGGGAATAGTGGTCCCATTTGTATGTCTGCAGACTAGGGTCATGAGAGCGTGATTATTGTCTGTGAACACATTATACTAGTGATAATGATATTATTACAGCTCTATCACATCCAAGTTGGTGTAGTAATTACTTTGTAGACATGTAGTGGTGATACATGTAGACCTTCATTATAATGGGAATAGTGGTACACACGCACTTAAGCTGATTTTTTTTTTCATGCTTGCCGTATTATGAAGCTTGTATAGGATGTATATCGAGTGTACAAAATGGTCAACTGGAAGCCCTTTTTAGCTCCGCTGTTGACTTTCTCGAGCGGAGCTTATTATATGAGTGATTGTCCGTCTACATCATCCGTGTCAATGCTTTACTTTTTCGACTTCTTCTTGAAAAGTATAAGCCTGAATGCTTTGATACTTGGTGTATATGTACCCTGCAAGCCTAATTGCTTTGATATTACATATATAGGTACTACATGTGGACCGCTCTCAGATTTGTTCATTTCGTGATGAAATATTCAATTCTCTAATTTTGATAAATATTTTTGTCATTGTTTGTAAAGTTATATTTTCGACTTGTTGAAAACCTATC